TTGTCAACCAAAAAAAAAAAGCCTTCCTGGCAACTCGATTATGTACTAATTTTTACACCGTACAGGTCAAATCTACAAGTTTAGTCAGCCTATTTTTCTTTTTCCCTAGGGGATTTCAAAACATTCTAGTAAATCTAGTTCTATATTACGATATTTATATGTAGCTTATACTTAAAATTCTTACTTACTCAAACAGGCCTACCTACCTGATGTCTATAGTTATAATACTCATTCGAACCAGCGACAAGAAAAGCCCAATGCTTTCCAGCAGAAACAGTCGCAACTAGAAAGCATAGATCTAGTAGTGTAGCGAGACCTAACTTCAACATTGTAAGTTGGTATTAGGCGCAACACGCTGGAGGCAATAGTCTGGTTTAGAGAGACTGAGCAAGGAAGCCGATGTTTACTTTATTTATATTAATTTAAAAAGTGTACCGGGTGTACTCGAATAAGTGTGTGGTCTCCTTGAGTAATTTTGACTATTGTGATCGATACCTTTAACAAAGTAACAAATTCCTCAAAATAAATAATTTTTCTAAAATTCAATTTAGGAATAATGTGTGTAAAATTTATTTTAACGTGTATAACAGTGTTTTTTTTTCTAAATATGTTATGTTTCTTAGTATCCAAAGATAATAGTTTCAATACACGATACTTGTTTTGCGTATGTATCGATACGAACCGCGTACGATTACCAATTAAGTTAAAAGAATTAGACTATTGTTATCACATGACTTCTGTCACATGTCTGGTCACCTGTGACCTAGTATTGTCTCATGTTATTCCCCTCCCCCCACCCATCTTCGAGGCAAGAAGACGTCAAATGTTCATACGATCGTATTATTGAACAGGAAAAAAAAAAGACTTTGTAATTAGAATAATAAAAAGGAGGAAAAAAAACGAGTGCTTTCATAAACGATATCTATCGTCTTTAGGTCGCTTTTTATACTCATACGCGGTCGAAAAAAGCTACACCCCCTCTCTTAAAATACCATCACAACTCAGAGTCCCCCCCCTTCCTATTCAACACATGTCTCAAAAGTTCAAAACTCCCCCCCCCCCCCTCCCATGAGTGTAATGCCATTAATGGAATCCTTATCGTCGTCAAGTAAATTTATTAAATTTTGTTTTAGGGTTCGTCTGTATACGACTTCACACTGTTAGTCAGAGTTTCTTTCAGCCATCTTATTCGGAGAAGGAGTGTCACCCCCCCCCCCCCCCCCATCGAGCTAAAAAAAAATTATACACAATATAGGGAAAGGCAGCTGGGCATAGTGCTAAAAGTTTATAATAAGTATAACCTTGTTTTCATTGGTCAAATTATAAGGATGACCTGTATCCAGTGGCGTTTTTGGGTCGAGTATCTGCACGTCAACTGACGATGCCACTACCCCCCCCCCCCCCATCCCTTCATCAATTTTGAATTTTTGGTTTGGTGTCACCCCCATCCCCGACT